GTCAGATCTGACTCAGGCAGATCTTGTTGGATGTAGGGTTGCCAAGTCCGCATTTTTTCCACAGAATTGGGTTAATTTTAAACTGTTGCCATGGGTTGAATTTCCCAAGTGGGTAAAAGGTTTGAAATATTGCATAAATTACATTTGACTGAAATGCCTGTATTGAAATATTTTGCATTCAAGTTCAACCTGTGATAAAACTTTCATGGACTTTTTCATTAACTGTTCCCTCCTGGTGGAATGAAGCTGAGTTTAATAATTTTCAATAAACGGCTGAAAACACATCTCTTTCATGTTCATTTGACCCTCTTAATTCTAGCACTCTTTATACTAATGCTAATTCAAATTTTATCTGCTTGTTTTTTTAATTAAATAAACTTGAACCTCTAACATTTGCACTCTCTATTCTATTTCAATTCTACCTACTTGTTTTATTTAAAAAGAAAAGAGCCTTTAACACTAGCATTCTCTATTCTTTTTACTTGTTTTCTTTTTATTTATTATACATAATGACCTTCTAACACAAGCATTATCTATTCTTTTTCTGTTCTAGTCACCCTAGCATAGTAATAATGTAAGTTTTTCCTCAATGTAGTATGGAAACTATTAACATTTCAGTAAGTGGAAAAAAGTACAATACCTCCTCCAGAGTGTCATCCTGTAGCTCAGGCGGTCCCAGATCAATGCTCTTACGTCCATCACGTTTCTGCTTCTGTTTGCTAGGGATTTTCTTGATGTTGCTTCCGTGACTGAGGCGCCGGACTGGGCTGGTCAACCATTTCTTCAGTGTATTCCCAGAGCGCTTGGGTCCAGGGGAGCTGCTCTGCAGGGAGTTCAGGGATGCCTGCGGCTGTAATGTGGCCACGGACTCGGTCTTCCCTTCTGGGCCGCTAATCGCATCGTTTTCTGTAGGATAAAGAACATAGAGAAGGGTGAATGAAAGTAAAGTTCATGATGAAGGTGATGATCAGTCCTAAAATAATTTTTAAGGAACATTCCAGGTAAAATTCAAATTAAGTTGCAATTTCTGCATCATTGATATTACCAAATGGAACTGTGAAAATACTAGTTGGGGAAAATAGGATTCTGAAATACTCCACCCATCCATCCAATGGCCAGAAAAACAGGCAGTCCCACCCCAAACTCACACGTCTGGTTGACACAATGGTTGGGATAGTCAAACAAACAGAACAATGTTTTGAAAGCAACAAATAGCCACAGTGTTTATGCTTTTCTGGGAGCTTACAGACTATGGACATCATCTGTGGCATTGTAGCGTCTGGACCAATCAGACACACCATTTTTCATTAACAAATCAGTTATTCATTAGATTAACAAATCGTCACAGTCCCCTCACCAAATAAACTGGATGCCAGGATGTCTGCCACGACACCAGGCCCCCCCCTTGGTTACCATGGCAACCCTGACACCAGATACATTTACGACCTAATGGAATTTAGGTGGAGAAAATCACTGCATGTTCCATAGCAAGAGGCAAATGCACAGTAGGAATGGACTTTTCTACTAATTAATTCATAGGAAAACCTTTCTTTGAATGAACACACATATCCTTCAGGTCATTGTGTATATTATTGCGGTCTTGTATATTATCTGTTGTATTGTAGACTATTTTATGCATGCTTATGATAGAACCACTCATTCATGTAACCTTACATATAACGTGTTTGGTCTCTATTAATTCGTATTCGGATGATCTAATTGAGAGTGTATATTGTATGTTTATACCTACGCAACATATTAGTGTTCTAAGAAGCTTTAGTAATTTTGATCCAAGTTTCATATGCAAACTACTATGCTTTCAAACAAAGGGTCATAAAAACTCCCCAGTATCTCAAAACTCCCACTTGGGACGTCAGCCTTTCTCATTGGACAAGCCCATTTTGAGAGGCGGGAATCTTCCTTGTGTGTGTGTGTGTGCGTGTGTATGTGTATATAAGACTAGTTTAAGTGTTTATGTAGTATGTTAGACTAGTTTAAGTGTTTATGTAGTATGTTAGACTAGTTTAAGTGTTTATGTAGTTAATAAAATCTTATTTGTATCACACTTGACGTTGTTCATTGTTTGCTCATAACTGGAGTCCCTAATCATGCAGATTTATGCTACAGGCTCTGTGTAGAGTTGTACAGTAAGAAAGTTATTTCCTTTAACCAGGAAATTAACGTTCTTAGAATTGACAGACAGTTGACCCTGAGAGGTCAGCTAAATATCTACAGCGGATCTAAATATTCATAATTAATTATAACTAGTTATGATTAATTATTCATATTTCCCCATGAGCTGATTCGTTACAGCATATTGTTGATTACCATATTTCACAGACTCACCCCTCAGATTGTTACAAAGAAAACAAACAGAAAATACACTTACAATAATGAACTTACAATGGAAGTCTAATAAAGCACTTATATAAATTCTTTAGTAAACACATTTGAATGAATTGAATTAACCCTAAACTAGTGCCAGTCTAGTGCCAGTGCTAGTCCCAATCAAAATCACTTGACCACGTTGTTTTCAATCATCTCTCTTCTTTCCTGTCACAAAAAATTTGCTAAAATTTGCTTTAGTCAGGCATCAAAAGAGGACGTTCAATAGAGATCAGTCCAGAAGCTCTGCAGTTGGCAAGACCCACTATCAGATGATCAATCCTCAATCTCCTAGCTTTTGACCCCAGACTACCAAATCCTCCTGTGTATCATCTCGAGCCTTGGTCCCATCTGCACTCCACTGGTTTGAGTCCTAATTTACAGGTAAATCATTCAGGGTTATTTTGGAGAGGAGGGAGTTTAAATCACATTAACTTCCCACAGGGGTGCCTCAGGGTTCGGTGTTTGGCCCCCTTTTCTTCTCACATTAAAACTGGGACATATCATCCAGGTTCTATAATTTTTTTGTGGTATTCAACAGCATGTTCAGACAGTATAACTGGACAGGTTGGAAATTAAAGTGAGAAATCAAAGTAATCCAACAAATAAAGTTTTCAGCAGTATCACCAATAGATGGACTCAAGGGCTAAACCTAGACTGAATCTTTCAATCTGATCTTGATTTTGTTGTAAAATTTGTGAGACCTCTGACACAACTAACAGAAGTGCAGTACAGGAAGAATCAGCAGAGCCAAATGTTTCAAATCTAACACCAGCCCAACATTATTGACCAACACCTGGTAACTGGAAACCAAATACCACAATTCACTGGAAATAATGACAGACATTTTTAGATCAGAAAGAAAAACATAGAGCATCACAATACTGCTATTCTCTTAAGATGTAACACTATAAACACATTAATTCAAAGTTAATGATTGCCTTCCACAAATGCAAACCACGCACCTAACATAAAGTCAATATTCTTGTGATGTAGAAGAAGCTCAAGCAGACATTACCCATACTATTAAAGCACACTGTAACTGCATTTTCATGAAAAATGATTTGTAGAGTATTGCAACATAAAAAGCCTTTTCTGCTGTGTTCTGAGTGTGTGTTCAAAGATTGGTGATCACTGAATTACAATTAGTTATAAATTATTATATTCTATAATTAATAATTATAATCATTCTAGAGATGCATAATATATTGGTATATCATGCATAATATAACTGCTAATATCAGCAGGTTTTTAAATTATCAGTATCCATGTGATTAGGTAACAGACAGGAGACAAAACAATACAGATATATAATATTGCTCATCATATATATAAAATTACTATGGTTATCAGCCAAATTTTTGATGTCAGTGCATTCCTAATTCTAATCATGCACTATTTAACATGTTAAAATTTCAAACAAATTGGCATTATATCTCATTGAAGCATCACTGAAAACATTCCATGTATTTTTTCTCTCTTGCGCTTACATGTCTGATTCATGATAAGATCATCAAGTCTCATAACCAACAGAAGAACTTGTTCTCCAAAAGCCCATGTGTGGATGACATCTGTGCATTTAGTACGGACTTCAATGGCTGACTCATTAGAGGAAGTGACCTTGTGAGAGTTGATCATAAAGCTTGCGACGGAAACATCAATGACTACAACTGTAGTCTACTACAACCCAACGATTCTGCAGAAATCACAGCTGCCTCAAATGAGCATCGAGCTGTCAGAGTCCTAAAACAGAACGAATGCTGCTCTACACACATGCTGTACACACTGTTCTGCGCTTGTCTCACCAGGCTCGATTGAACACGTGTGAGCCATTCACGAGAACCAGCCATCACAGGAGTGTGTGTCCGTCTGCTGCTTGATGGAGTGCATCCCGTCAAGTGCTGTTGTGCTTTTTGAAGAGCGAACCTGCGTAATACACAGACTGACTGACGACAAACGTGGAGTCTTCTGAGTGTGTGATTATGTGTGGAGCAAAGAGAGGCTTTAATGAGAACAGTCATTAAGCACTGCCCTTTACACACACAGACTACACACACACTTCTCCTGCTGCTGCCTCAGTAACCGAGAGACAGACAGAGAGAGTTCTTTGTTCTTTTAAGTGGTCACATCACATTTCCACAGAAAGCAGCATCTGGATCTTATGACTAGTTTTACTACAAAGCAAAACCAACTCGCATTGACACATATCAGAGTCCTGCTCATGGAAAGCTCCTGCAAGAAATGTTGTAGAACTGAACGTATAAATAAATACGCCAACATTCTGAATAAAATTGGACTTTGGCTAGTATATTATAATGTGTTGTAAGTCTGTTACTCTTCATTTGGCTAGTAACTTTATTAGGAACTGCAACATTATAAGTTACAAGTAGGTCTGAACGTCATAGATGGAAGTGATGTGAACAATTCAAACCGAACAGACATAAATGCTATTTTTTTTCTTTTACAACTCAATTTAGACAAATATGTGAAATATTGCTCACATTAAGGCACCAAAACTAAAATATGAGAAACAAAATCATGATATTTTGTAAGAAATGCAGTTTCATTGATAGACAAGAATGACTCAAACAGGTATACAATGCTGCGAATAAATGACCTTAATACTACTAATATGCAAAGTTTAGATTATATATATATTTTAAATAATAAACCAAGTGGAAAATAAAGTTTCATGGCCAGTAAATTTGATTTATTTCACTCGCCACATTGGAAGGTGTGGCATGTGAGGAATATTTCTGAAATTGTTTAAAAATCCCAGTAACTCACTGACGCTGTCAAGCATAAAAAGTCCTTTTTGCACTGTTTTTCATTCTCAGTTTTCGTTAACAAGACCAAACTGACTTTTACAGTAGTAACTGGTATTTAAGCAAAAAACTACAAAAAAAAATATTCAATGCTAGTGACAGAACACTAATTGAGCACTCTAATTGTCACCAATTGTGACATCGCTTCCTTCATGTTCTGTTCTGCTACTCACAGGTACTTCACTGGCCTTTTGAAACTCAATCCAGTGGATCTGTGCAGTAAAAATACCATGCATGGCTTCATTTGAGGAGCTTTGTGGCATGGCAACTCCTCTGAAAGGCGCAAAGAGAGAAAAACGACCCCTAAAGTATTTAAACGCTTGAGTCAAACTAAAAAAATGCTAATGTCACATTTCTTCATAACTTTTAATCAGCTGGTGTTTAAGGCCCTGTCCACACGAACGCGGTTATTTTTAAAACCGCAGCTTTTTCTACGCGATTAGGCCGTTCGTCCACACGCAAACGCAGCACCAGGTCACTGAAACCGAACATTTTTGAAAACGCCTGCCAGGGTGAAGATTTTCAAAAACTCCGGTTGCACTGTTATCGTGTAGACAGCGAAACCGGAGTTTTTGGCTTGTGATGTCGGAGCCTGCATTGTTATCAGCCAAACAATGTTGGTGTCTTCCACACGACTTCCTGACACACAGAGGTGCGACTGAGAGAACGGTTTAGTCTTCACTGAAGCAAGTAGAC